TTAAAAGAAACTAAAGGGGAACCAGGGAGGTACAAAAAGGAAACACAAAAAAGAGAGAGACAAACCTTGCTTTGTGACAACCCACTCTTACTGGAATTCATCCAACCCATTGAGAGCAAGAACACCCTCCCCTGGGACCACAGTAATCCCTCAATGTGGGGGTAGATCATTACCACAGCTCACGGCTCAAACTCTTCTTAAAGGTACTACCTCCCAGCATCACTACATTTGGGGTCCAAGCCTCAACAGGAGTTTCGAAGCTGACCACGTTCAAACCATAGCATGAGCTATACTGTATTAGGACCCATCCCAGCGACCTCATTTGATCTTAATTACCTCTTTATAAACTGTCTGCAAATAGTGACATTCTGAGGTACTGAGAGTTGGGACTTCAACATATGAACTTAGGGGAGACACAGTTCCACCCATAACCGTTACCTACAAGGGTGGCTTACAGAGGGGGGTGTCTTGTTAGACATGGAGCCCCCAGCTATTCCTGTGGACCCTATTGCAGGTTTTAACAGTCCTTCCAGCTTGAGACAGTTGACTGCTGTCTCCCATACAGCTAGGCTTCTGGGATTTTGCAAAGCCCTTACAGGCCTCAAAGCCACATCAGCCCAATAATGAGGGCTTCTGTCTGCTGTGCTTGCCAAAATTGTTATGGCAACCAGAGCTAAAAGACTGCAATGCTTAGATCAGGCTATGCCAGCTCCAGCTCTGGTTCACATAACTCATCATGAACTTGCAGCATTCAGAGGCAGCCTGTCTCCCTGGCATGATCTGGTCTCCACTGCTTGGATTCATGGTTTTTTCAGAATGCTGTTATAGAGTGCTGGGTTCCTTACAGCAGTGTGCCCAGACCTCAAAGTGATGATGAATAGTTTCTGAGACTAAGAAGGGTTAGTAAAACCTCTTGCAGCCAGGTACTAGCAGAAATAGACAGAGTAGGGGCTAGTATGCACCCTTTCTGCATTGCTAGAAGTAACCATTCTGACCAGATGAGCTGGTATTTGGATAAATGCTTTCACAGTCTCAGAGAAGTCAGACCCTTGGATTGATTTGCTCTTGAACAAAAAAATTTTTTTTTCACTATGAAAATGCTTTCATTTGGTTGTCTTTAGAACATGTGATGTCAAGACACAAAGAACAGCAAGTGCACATACAGTAAGACATGACTGTCAGAGAACAGACTGTGCATGAATAGAGAGCTCACACCACTTCCACCCTTTACACAGTAACAGAAGGCTCTAGGCCACCTCCTCCTGGGCTCATTCCTCAAAGTCTTTCTTCTCCTCAGCTGTGGCTTCCTGGTACTCAGACACCAGGTCGTTCATGTTACTCTCAGTCTCGGTGAGTGCCCTCTCATCCATGCTCTCACCCGTGTACCAGTACAAGAAAGCCTTGCACCAGAACATGCCTGTGCACTGCTCTGAGATGCACTTGATCGATCCTACATAGCTGTGTAGTTGCCAGTGAAGGTGGCAGACATCTTTAGCCCTCAGTGTGGGAAGTCACAATGTTTTTACATAGTGGGGGACCCAACCAACCATGTAAAACAGCTGTCTGTGACTTTCCACACTGAGGGAATAGCTGCTGTTCATGTTTTGGGCATTAAGCATTTGCCTGTTCACCTCCTTCATGGACATGTGGCCCCTGAACATGGCGGCCGTTAGGTAGCAGCCACGGCAGAGGTTGCAGGCAGCCATCATGTTCTTGGCATCAAACATCTGCCGGGTAGGCTTAGGTACCATCAGGGTCCAGTGCTGGTGGCTGTCCTGGCTGGTCAGCAGGGCAAAGCTAGACACAAAGTGCAGGTGGGGGAATGGGACCATGTTCGCAGCCAGCTTCTGCAAGTCGGCATTGAGTTGGCCAGGGAAGCACAGGCAGATGGTGACCCCCCTCATGGTTGCAGACACCAGGTAGTTCAGGTCACTGTAAGTAGGTGTGGGCAGCTTTAGGTTTCTGAAGCAGATGTCATAGCTTTATTATCACTGCAGAAGTTCTAGTTTTGAGAAGTTTGGTTTGGTGGTTAGCCAGTGGAAAAGTGTGGCATGAGCCACTAGCTTTTAAAATCTGTTAAGGACCTTGATTGACTCCCTGTTTCAGAACTCTGTCTTGTGTAATAAAGAAGTCCTGGCTGGGCAGAAATTCCATCTCAGGTCTTGAACACATTTCCTACACAGTCTAGAGTTAACTGGACTGAGGACTGATGCTTCTGGGCTAGGAGGGCTGGCAAGATCTTGTCATCGTTTCCTAAGGATGGGTGACATCATTGAGAGTCTTCCTTCTGAGGTGATTCACTTATATACCCTGAGTCACTGTTTCTGTGCTTCTTCTGTGACCTTGGTCATGAACTTGACCTCTCTGACCATGTTGTCTCATAACATGGCGAAAAAAACCTTTTCCAATAGGGTGTGATGTTATGAAGGACTCCAGGGTATATTGGGAGATGGCACATCATAGTGGTTAGGTCTGAAAGACCTAGATTTCTATCCCAGGTTTGCTCCTTATGATTTGCCTTTGGGTGAGATTTTTCATTTTTGTGCTTCTCTTTCCTCATTTGTAAAACGGGTAACATTCTATAGGGCCCATTTTATGGTCATGATGATGAAATAAGGTAAGGCTGCTGAAGCACTTAGCACAGTGCCTGTAACATGTCAGTGCTCAGACACAGTTACTTTGTTACTAAGGCAGGTACTGACTTGACTCAAACTTAGAGACTCAAGGGAGTATGACAGAATTGGGCCATCAGTGCTTGGATACTTCATCCCAGTTGTACTTTGCTGTAGGACCAGCAGGTGGCGACATCGGCCACATCTTGGCCCTGCTGGCCTCCATCTTAGAGGTCCAGTTCCCTGGGATGGCGGGACTCCATTGCTACACTTGTCCCCGTATCCCTCACACAGTGTGGGTTTCCATAAACAGCTGGAGCTAGTTAAGTGACTGGATAGACTTGCCTGCAGATTATTCCAGAACAGTAGCTACTCTTGCTTTCATGTCCAGGGCTACTGCATGTTCCTTGCTGAGGGCTGAGTTGCCACCTACCTAGTGCAGACATCATGCAGCCAGGTGGTGCAGACTCAAGTTTGGGGCTGCTGAGAGTGAGCTCAGGGCCTGTGAATTTCAGCGGTAAACCTGGTTAGCATTTCTCAACAACTGCTACAATGCTGGGAAAGTTCACCTAAACTGAGAGGGTGGCTCCAAACAAAGCAGCTTGATTTGTGTATTTGAGCCTGAGCATCCAGTGTTGAATCCAGAATCTGAGATGGCATGGCTCAGGGAACACCCAGAAAGAGCCAAGTCAAAGTGGTAAGTTAAAAAGCTAGTAGCTGAATCCCCAGGGAGTCGGCCGAGAGTAATTTCAGTGTCAGCAGTTCATATCTGTGTCCCAGGTGAGGACATAGGCTTGATGGTTTCTTATCCTTCTCATGACCTGTGGTGCTTCAGAGGTCCATGGAATGAAGGATAAGGTGGAGAAGCCAGGCTCAGGAAGGATTGGGATTTCCTAAAACTGTATGAATTTTTGTTCTTTTCTATTGAACTGGAATTATTTAAATGTATTGACTTAAGTGAATACTTCTGTTGATTCGAAAACTATAATACTGGTTACCCTTTAACAATAATGTTAGGTTCTGTGACATAAAATATGTTAACCTGCTGTGATTTTAATAATTACCTCCACAAGATGGCGCCAACATCAAAGCCTGGCTTTGCCACTTAAGGAATTCGTGGCGGACAGTCCCAAATTACAAAATCATGTCATGTGTAACAGGCACAGTTCTTCAGTTAAAAACCTCACCAAATAGTCCTTATTTTCTTGTTTGTTTGTTTTCAGGAAACTGAGCCAGAAAGGTAACCATTTTTTATGTGTTGATGGGACTCAGCTTGTGTAACCTGACCTGAAAATTATTTAATTCATGTTCACTGAATTCTTAAATCTGGAATTTTTTCTTGAAGCCTGCTTTTTATTTAGTTACTCAAGTGACAATAGATGTAAAGCTTTTCAATGAAGACTAACAATGCTCAGGTGACCTTGCATTAATTAGGTTTTAGTAGTGTCGTGTCTTTAGCTTTGCACTATTTACTTTCTCCTTTAGGAAGTACCAGCCCAAGGAAATTACCTAATGATTTGTTACTTAATTTTTAGTTTTAACCGTTTAGTTAATAATTATTTTTGTAATTGTTGTTGTTTCTATTTTTTAATCATCAAATTAGATCAACTCTCAGAGGGTAATGCGAGGTTTCTTTAACTCAGACAAAGATTTTCAAGATAATCTCTGAGAAATGCAACACAATGCATGAACTTAAAAAAACTTATAACTACCTTTTGAACTACTTATTTTTAGTTACATAAATCTATTTACTAATATATGGGTATGCTATATATGTAGTTACAGTATATAAATATGAATTTGCATACATATATGAATGATCGATTTCATGAATATATATGAGGATAACTTTTCATGCTATTTCAGTCTCCTCTGTCTGCATTCTCTCCTAGTTTTGTGATTCTAATGGCGCAGGAAACATAACCTCTCATTTCTTTATCAAATAGAATATGAGGAGAAATAATTACCAGATGTTCAGCAGTCTTCTGAACATTCTTTACTCCATAGTCCATTTGGTAGAGAAATAAAATTGATCAAAAAGTACTTTCCACTACCATATTTGACTACTTTTAAGTTTGATTTTCTACGCCGAGTTGGTTAAAGTACCTCTCTGTGCTGACTCATAAGTCAGTCAGAAGTAAATGTGATAGAGTCCAAAAAGGTGGCCTTTTGGCTCTTTTTAGAGTATAGAAATGGGCCTTCAAATATTTGTTGATTTTTATAGAAGACTTTCAAATATTTGTTGATTTTTCAGTAATTTTCAGATTTTAAAAAGATAACTAGGCCTTGGCAGAATGGAGAAGAGCATATGAATAAATGAGTTTGCTTAAATTTTTTTTTCTAATAAAAAATTACCAAATACAATAATCTTCTCTTTTTCTCTCTTAGATTGGAATAATTGGTGGAACAGGCCTGGATGATCCAGAAATTTTAGAAGGAAGAACTGAAAAATATGTGGATACTCCATTTGGCAAGGTTAATATCCAACTAGAGGAGGCATGTTAGCTTTTTCCTTTCTCCTTGCTGGCTTGATTTTTAAATTAAAGAAAAAAATATTGCTTCTGTTTTGGCGGCCCAGGGTCGTCTGCTCCCAGCAGAGAGGGCCAGTAGTTCTGCCGTTAGGTTCCTTTAGCTGAGAAGGTGTCTGACGGATGCCCCAGACTTTGATGTTTTGAGAAGATGGGTACTGAATATGTAAATCACTTCTCAAAATCTGTTGCTAGAAGGCTGATGCTCATTTCAGGCACAGAAACTGCACTTTTCAAATCTGCATTCAAATCACTGTCTAATTTGGGGCCAATAGGTCACACCACACTAATTTAGGGGACAGGTTGATGACTAATAGGATGAATTATTATAACCAAGTGGTATTTTCTGAGCAGGGAGATTGTCCTGGGGAATGAGAACATACGTGATGTTAGTTGAATGGATAACTGAGCTAAAAATAAAACACTCTTCCTTTTGTAGGGGAGGTTGCTTCTTCTCCAAGCACATGTCACTCAACCTAGGCCAGGGTGAGGGTGTCTGCATTCTCCTAATTCCGTATTGCTGCATCCTCTGATCCTTCTGTAAGATCTCTGTATCTGGCTGTCCCAATCAAACCCTCCTTTTAAGCTAAATTCTTACATTGACCTTGTGTCCCCGCAGTCCTGCTGTCATCTTGGCTCATTGTCTTAAACCCCTTGGTTGTAAAGGTCTTTCTAGCCTTCCTTAGCTCAAGTCATTCCATAACTATCTTAGACCTGGTTAACACAAGCAGACATTTCCAGTGCTAAGTTCTTAATATCATGACAGTGGCTTCTTACCCTTTCTGCCTTTCACCCTCACACCTCTTCTTGAACCTGCCCAATAACTTTGACATATCTAAATTTGAGCAGTCTACTGTCAGAGTCCCCTGGGGTACTCGTTACAAATAGATCTGACTAAATGGTACCTACACAGACACCCATGGTAACCTGTGTAACCTGCAGAGGGGTAAGTAATTGATTAAATGATTATATTGATAATCAGATCTTGCCTCTTCTCTAAGTTGTATCCTCAGACTCTTCAGATTCCATGAGTCCTATTGCAGTTGAACAATTTTAATTTACATATCTGTTTTTAAATCTCTGAGTTAATTATCATTTTCCATTGCATGCAGCCATCTGATGCCTTAATTTTGGGGAAGATAAAAAACGTTGATTGCGTCCTCCTTGCAAGGTATGGTTATTTTAAGCTTTTTGGATGTTACTACTAAAAGATAATTTAAATTTAACTTAAATTCTGCAAAGAGTAAAGATGCAAGTATGAGTTTTTATATGTTGGCAGAATCAGAACATCTTATTTACAGTATATCATTTTGGGTTGAGTTATATTGACTTAGAGATCAAAGATCTCATGCCCTTGCCCCTTAGATTGGGAAAGTAGATGAGACGACTAAGATCAAAGCTCTGGTTTTAGTTCTAACTGCAAGAAGAAATGTTTTGATCATTTTCCCCCTTCTTATGAAGATAAAGAAAAACAATGCATCATTAATGACCTCTTGATAGTAGAAGTTATATGTCTCTGGGGAGTGGGCTTAGGGCTCCTGAAGTGGGTTACTTGTGTCTACATTGTTGTTTCCTTAAGGAGGCTGGTGCTGCTCTTTATCACAGGAGGCAAAGTCATTTTTATCCTATAGTTAGAAATTATTCAAGATACATGTACGAGTTCTCTACTGTTATATAACAAATTACCACAAATTTAGCAGCTTAAAAGAACACACGTTGTCTCCCAGTTCCTGTTGGTCAAGAGTCTGGCACGGCTTAGCAGGATGTCTGCTTGGGGTTACACAGGCCCTGCAAGGCATATTCAAGGACTGGGTCCCCAACTGCAGCTTGAGGTCCTTGTTTAAGCCCATGTGGTTATAGGAGAATTTATTTCCTGGAAGTTGCAGGGTGGAGGCCCTTGGCTTCTAGAGGTGGTTCACATTCCCTGCCGTGTGGCCTGCTCCACAGGCCGTTCACTTGACAGCAGCTTGCTTCCTGCCATTAGAATGTGGTGGAGGTGCTAGAAGTCGCCTCCATGGTTAGGCTGTACCTTGAAAGCATGCAGGAGGCCGGCAGGAGAATCTCTCGTGCATGCTTGCAAGGTAGAGCCTAATCATGGAAGTCACTTACAGCATGTTCGCCATTTTCTAATGACTGGATGCAAGTCTCAGATTCACCCACACTTTATACAGCACATGACAGTGGGGACCACACTACGGTCTATCTGTCACCCTACATTTTTGAGACAGAAGTGGCTTTTCAGAATCCAGTGAACCAAAATGTTAATTTTAGTTGGTCACTGGAGTGGGTTCTAGGAGACCCCCTGTGTTAGTCTGTGGTGATTGCTAGAGAATCACTTCTTTTCTAGACTCTAGGAGAAAACAGGTGGTGGTGTGCTCATCACAGGTTGATGATCTTTTTCTCTCCTTCCTTAGGCATGGGAGGCAGCACACCATCATGCCTTCAAAAGTCAACTACCAGGCAAACATCTGGGCTTTGAAGGAAGAGGGATGTACACATGTCATAGTGACCACAGCTTGTGGCTCTTTGAGGGAGGAGATTCAGCCCGGCGATATTGTCATTATTGATCAGTTCATTGACAGGTAAGCAGTCATACAAAATGATTTAGGCTGTTGTAGCTGGTCATTTCCAGCTCAAATGGATACTGTGTGGGAACCAGCAGGGAAACTGGGAGGGCAGGCCCACAGGCTTGCTCGCTGTTTTTGTTTGTTTGTTTGAGATGGTGTCTCACTCTGTTGCCCAGGCTGGAATGCAGTGGCACTTTCTCGGCTCACTGCAGCCTCTACCTCCTGGGTTCAAGCAATTCTTATGTCTCAGCCTTCTATAGCTGGGACTACAGGCTCATGCCACCAAGCCCAGTGAATTTTTGTGTTTTTAGTAGAGACAAGGGTTTTACCATATTGGTCAGGCTGGTCTAGAACTCCCGACCTCAGGAGATCCACCCGTTTCAGCCTCCCAAAGTGCAAAGTGCTGGAATTACAGGTGTGAGCCACCACGCCCCGCCTGCTTTAAGCTTTTCATCATGTTTTTTTGTTTTTTTTAGTTGACAAATGATAAATGTATATATTAACATAACCCCACATATTATCTTTGGAGAACCTTTGATTTTTAACAATTTTGAGATACATAATATATGGCATTAGCTATAATCACCATGCAGTATAATCTCAAAAACTTACTACTCCTGTCTAACTGAAATTTTGTCCTTTGATCAACACCTTCCTGAACCCCAGCCGCTGGTAACTTTTCTACTCTTTACTTCTATGCATTGACTTATTTATATTCCACATATGGGTGAGATTATGCAGTATTTGTCTTTCTGTGGCTGGCTTATTTCACTTAACATAATATATCCTCCAGGTTCACCCATGTTGTGGCAATTGACAGAATTCCCTTCTCTTTTAAGGCTAAATGGTATTCTATTGTGTATATATACCACATTTTCTTATCCGTTCTTCTGTTGATGGACATTTATGTTGCTTCCATATCTTGGCTATTGTGAATAATGCTGCAGGGAGCATAGAAGTGCTGGTATCTTTCTTGACGTAAAATTTCATTTCCTCACGCCTGTAATCCCAGCACTTTGGAAGGCCGAGGCAGGGTGGATCATGAGGTCAAGAGATTTAGACCATCCTGGCCAACACGGTGAAACCCTGTCTCTACTAAAAATACAGAAAAATTAGCTGGGTGTGGTGGCACGTGCCTGTGGTCCCAGCTACTCAGGAGGCTGAGGCGGAAGAATCGCTTGAACCCAGGAGGCGGAGGTTGCAGTGAGCTGAGATTGCGCCACTGCACTCCAGCCTGGTGACAGAGCAAGACTCCATCTCAAAAAAAAAATTTCATTTCCTTATAGACCCTGAGATGGGATTGGATCATGTGGTAGTTGATATTTTTAGTTTTTTTGAGGAATTTAGTAATGGCTATATTAATTTATATTCCTACCAACAGTATAAAAAGTTCCTGTTTTTTTTCACATCCTCATCAACACTCATTATGTTTTGTCATTTTGATAATAGTCATTGTGGCCTGCCACAGTAGTCCATGCCTGTAATCCTAGCACTTCCAGAGGTTGAAGCAAGAGGATTGCCTGAGCCCAGGAGTTTGAGACTAGCTTGGGCAACATAGTGGGACCTTGCCTCTATTAAAAAAAAAAAAAAAAATTAGCCAGGTATGTTTGTATATACCTGTAGTCCCAGCTACTTAGGAGACTTAGGTTGGAGGATCACTTGAGCGTGGGAGGTCAAGGCTGGAGTGATTCATGAATGCACTACTGCACGCCATCCTGGGTGACAGAGCAAAAGGCCATTCAAACAGGTGTGAGGTGGTATCTTATTTTGGTTTTCATTTGCATTTTCCTGATGATTAGTGATGTTGAACATTTTTCATACAGCTTTTGTCCATTTGTATGTCTTCTTTTAAGAAATGTCTATTCAAATCCTTTGCCTGTTTTTTAATCGGGCTGTGTTTTCGGAACTTTCTTTCAGTTAGGTTCCTTATGTATTTTGGATATTAACCCCTTATTGGAGGTGTGGTTTGTAAACATTTTTTCCAGTCTGTAGACTGTCTCTTTATATTATGGGAGTTTTTAAACATATACACAAAAGAATAATAATAATCATGGATTCTTTAAGTTCCTAAATCTTGTTTCAAAAGGACATTTTTTTAAGAGCCTAAATTAATATTTTCTTACTTTTAGATATATAGGAAATTCTCTCCACCTTATTGTCTCATGAACTTTTTTAAAATAGTTGATTTATTCAAATAAGGGTCCATTCATTACGCATGTGGATTTAATAGGCCTTCTAGTCTGGAGGATTCCGCCTTCGTTTTTCGTATTTCTTTTTGTCTTTCAGTGCTTATCCACATTCTGGATTTTACTAATAGTATCCGTAAGTGTCATTTAGTGACTTCTCGTGTCCCCTGTGTTTGCTGTAAACTAGATTTAGCTCTGATCATAACCAGGTTTGAATTCTTGGCAAGGATCTTTCTTTCTGCATCCTGTCAGGAGGCATGTGATGTGTCCAGTTTTGTCTTCCTAATACGATCAATCAGGTGCCAGAGGTGTAGGGTTTTTTTTTTAATTGCACAAGTAATATATATTGTTCCTTTACGCCACCACCCCCCCAAAAAAAGAAAAAACGACAACAATAATAGACCACCAAGTTCTTGGACCTTTTCTGGGTTTAGAAGTAGTTGAATTCGCAGGGGAAAGTGGTGGTCTCTAGGTTAGGGGTCTCCAACCCCTGTGGCTTGTTAGGAACCGGGCTGCATGGCAGAAGGTGAGCCACAGGGCAAGAGTGAGCATGACTGCCTGAGCTCCCCGTCCTGTCAGATCAGCAGCAGCCTTAGATTCTCATAGGAGCAGGAACCCTATTGTGAACTTTGTGTGCAAAGGATCTAGGTTTTGCACTCCTTATGAAAATCCAATGCCTGATGCCCTGAGGTGGAAGAGTTTTATCCTGAAACCATCCCCCGTCCCTCTCTGTGGAAAAATTGTCTTCCGTAAAATTGGTCCCTGGTGCTAAAAAGGTTGCGGGCTACTATACTAGGGCCACCCCTTCCCCCATTCCTGGTAGAAATATTTGCCTCTCAGAATACTCTGGATGAAGACAGAGCCCCCAGGGCTGGGTGGAGATGGGGTGTAGTGCAGAGTTAAATCATCTGAGGCTCCTTCCAGGATCCCCCATCCAATCACCCTGCCTACCACCTCAGTCCATACTGCTCCTCCCATCAGTTCTCTTGGAGCTTTCTGCATTCACAGCCTTTTCCTAGAGCTTCTGCTATGGGAGAGAGAGTTGTCCAGTCCAGGCCACTGTATCTTTTTGCCTTTCCAGGGATTCATTGTAATTTCTGGTCCATCAGAAGCATTCTTGGTTGTTTCCTGACGGAATGAAACTTATGAAATTGCCCATTCTGTAGGTCAGAAATAGTTGAAAATCAGCAGTTTCATGTGGTGCAACTTAATAAATAATAGGGTTAGACTAAAATGATTACATGTCTCTCACCCTGCATTATGTTCTTTTCATTTATTTGTACCTGATACTATATATTTATGACCTGTTTCCCTCTAGAATATAAGCCATGTGAGGTCAGAGGCCCTTTCTATCCTGTTTGCACCATATCACCAACACCCACAACAGTTCCTGGCCTTTCTTTGCTCTGTCAGTATTTTTTGAGGGATTGAACATAGTCATTTGAATAGGGGGCAGGCTGGAGTCTGTGTTTTGGAGACATCTTGATCAAAATCTCAGTAGCTGTCAACATCCATGTGTTTGGAGGTAATAGCTTAAGAAAATGATTATAATATGATTGCCAAATAGAGCAGAATATCAAACTCCATATTCAAGGTGATCCAAATTTATAAAGTATTATAGTTGATACTGTAAAGTGTGAATTGGGCACTGAGCCTTGGGTTAGTTTGTTACTTAAATGGTATAACTATACACTGATGCGTTTCCCAGATTTTGTACTCACGTGTCTTAAATGTAGATGTTTCACATACTGGCTCTTTCAAGAAAGCAGTTAGGTCAGAAGATGGAGACTAGAAAGACAACAGGTATTTCCATCAGATCTGGTTTCATTCTGTCGTAGCACATCTTAGCCAGGTAACCTTAAGATCTTCTAGTATTTGTCTGTTTATGAGCCATATGGATAACCTGCCATCTTAATGTTTCCTTGGAAGTTCAAAGTCTCTAACAAGTGCGTTTTGTGGACTTGCATGTGTTAGTTAACCTGCTCAATAACTGAGTGTCATTATTGAGAGTGTGGGCATACTGACTGGAGGGCGCACTAGTTGACACTACTTTACAACAACAGGAGAAAAGAACCTGTTAAAAGAAGGATGCCCAGCCAAGGATCCTTCTTTTAACAGGTTCTTTTCTCCTGTAATCCCAACACTTTTGGGGGCTGAGGCAGGCAGACCACCTGAGATCAGGAGTTCGAGACCAGCCTGGCCAACATGGTGAAACTCCATCTCTACTAAAAATACAAAAACATTAGCTGGGCGTTATGGCAGGCACTTGTAATCCCAGCTATTTGGGAGACTGAGGCTGGAGAATCGCTTGAACCCAAGAGGCAGAGGTTACACAGTGAGCTGAGATCGCTCCATTGTACTCTAGCCTGGGCAAAAAGAGTGAAACTCCATCTCAAAAAAAAAAAAAAAAGATCCTAGGAGAACATAATTTAGCATGAAATCTCAGTTTTTACATTGATTGCATATTTGCAGTGATAACATTTTGAATATATTAGGTTAGACAAGATTTTAAACTTAATTTTACCTGTTTTACTTTTACCTTTTCAGTGACCACTAGAAATTTTAAAATTACATAGGTAGGTGGCTCATATTATATTACTTTATCTTCTAAGTGCTACTGCCTTTGATTGAGCAGAGTGCCTTCCAGTTAACCAGGCTTGGGCACGTATATGATTCATTATAGGTTTGAATATCTCATAGTAGAAGAAAATCAGAACGTTTTGCCTTGTGGGTAATGCCCTGTATATGTTTTCCTGTTAGCACATTTCTTAGCAAAGTGAATTTTGTTCTGTTGAAACAGGCATCTCCTACCTTCACTTGTTGATGACA